GATGGGTATTAAAGAGGGCACGTTCTGCATGGAGCACTGGGTGTTAAATGCAAACAATGAATCATGGAACACTACATCAAAAACTAATGTACTGTATGGTGATTAACATAATAATAAAAAATAAACAAAATAAAATGCAATGAAATAAGTCAGAGAAGGTCAAATACCATATGATTTTACTCATATGTGGAATTTAAGAAACAAAAGAAACAAGCAAAGGGGGAAAAAAAACTAGAGAAAGAGGGGGCAAACCAAGAAATAGACTCTTAACTCTAGAGAACACACTGATGGTTACCAGACGGGAGGTGGGCAGTGGAGGGGGGAAATAGGTGATGGGGATGAAGGAGTGCCCTTGTCATGATGAGCACTGGGTGATGTATGGAATTGTTGAATTGCTATATTGCACACCTGAAACTCATATTACATTGTACGTTAACTAACCGGAATTTGAATAAAAACTTAAAAAAATTCAAAAATAAAAACCAAGAATAAAAAAAAAATACAAGCTTATTGCTAAATATTCAAATACATAAAATGGAAAATATGGGTCTCCTGTGGTCTCACGTTGGTATATACCCTTTCTGATTCCTTTCTAGGTATGTGCTAACTTGAGTAACTATTGTAATTAGTGTCTTTATCATTACTGTTTCACAAAATGTTGACATAATTCATGTACTGCTTCTTTCATCTTTAACTCAACAACAGACCACCTCCCCACCACAGTTTCTAGTAGATATCAGTGGTCTAGTTTAATCTCTTCAACGGATGTGTGTTATTTCATAGTGTGGATACAATGTAATATATTTAAATAATATCCTGTTGATGGGCACTTGAGTTATTTCCAATAATTTGTAATATATAATGTTTATTCCATATCTCACAATTTTTCAATAAACATTCTTGTACATATGTTTTGAATGATAGTATTTTTCATAATATTTTTCAGGAGGCATGGAGTAAACTGCTATCTTCGGATTAAATTTACTAGAGAGGCTGAACATTTTTTTTGGTAGACCATCAGTCATATTTTTCCTTCAATAACCTTCCTGTTGGGGCGCCTGGGTGGCTCAGTTGGTTAAGCGACTGCCTTCGGCTCAGGTCATGATCCTGGAGTCCCGGGATCAAGTCCCGCATCGGGCTCCCTGCTCGGCGGGGAGTCTGCTTCTCCCTCTGACCCTCCTCCTTCTCATGCTCTCTGTCTCTCATTCTCTCTCTCTCAAATAAATAAATAAAATCTTTAAAAAAAAAATAACCTTCCTGTTCATGACCATTTTTCTTTTGTTTTTCTCTTAGAGTACTCCTATTTTTTTCTCATTTATTTTAAGAACATCATACATTTTGTTGCAAATATTTTCCTCCAGGTTTCTCTTTGCCTTTGAGTTTGTGTCTATGAGTTTGGCTGTGATAGTTTTATTTTTTTTTTAAGTTTTTATTCAAAATCCAGTATAGTTAACATGCAGTGTAATGTTAGTTTCAGGTGTACAATAGAGTGATTCAACACTTCCATACATCACCTGGTGCTCATCGTGACAAGTGCACTCCTTCATCCCCATCACCTTCTTAACCCATCCCCCCACCCACCTCCCCTCTGGTGACCGTCAGTTTGTTCTCTTAAAATCAGGAGTGGGCAAGGTCGGTTCTCGTTGAAGAGACCCAGCGTGAGTGGAAAGTTTTCTGCAGCACCGTGTGGACCTCCCTGTTCCGTAGGCAGTAGATGATGGGACTGCACATGGGGGTGACCACCGTGTAGATGACTGACAGCACTTTGTTGAGGTCTGTGGAGTTGATGTGGCTGGGGCGGGAATACATGAAGAGGACCACTGCGTAGAAGATGCCCACCACCACCAGGTGGGAGGTGCAGGTGGAGAGGGCTTTGTGGCGGGTGGCAGCTGATGGCATGTGAAGCACAGTTCTCCCGATGGCCACATAGGAGGCCAGAGCAACGAGTAATGACCCACAGAAGATGATGATGGCAGAGATGAAGTCCACCAGCTCGGTCAGGGCCATGTGAGTGCAGGACAGGTTGAGCAGAGGGGAGATGTCACAGAAGAAGTGGTTGAGGACTTTGGGGCCACAGTAGGACAGGCTGGCGATGCATGCTGTTTTGATCACCGAGACCAGCAGCCCCCCAAGCCATGAAGTCATGGCCAAACCCAGGCAGACCTGGGGCCTCATGAGCAGTGGGTAGTGGAGTGGGCGGCAGATGGCCACGTAGCGGTCATAGGCCATGGAGGCCAGGAGGGTGCACTTGGTACTAATGAGAGCTATGAATAAAAAAAGCTGAATTATGCAGGCAGTGAAAGACACATGGCATGGACTGGACCTCAGCCCCAAGAGCAGGCTGGGTATGGTCACAGACATGTAACACATCTCTAGGCAGCTGAGGTTGCCCAGGAAGAAGTACATGGGCTTGTGGAGCTCGCTGTGACTGCAGACAAGGTAGATGATGAGCGTGTTCTCCAGGAGGGACAGCAGGTAGAGGGTCAGGAAGATGGCAAATAGGCCAATCCTTATGCCTTGCCTGGCGGACAAGCCCAGTAGGATAAACTCCTGGGTTCTGGACATATTGGCCAATTCCAGAGACCTCTCCATCTAAGTGGAGAAAGAAAGAAGTTAGCGGAGACCATGATCCAGGCAGGAGTAAATGGTAAAAGAGGAAGCATCGGGGCTCTGAGAGCCAATGTACGTGCCGTAGGCTGACTGTTGTCAGGAGGACTGGTGAGCTGCAAAGTTGCAAAACCGGAATCGAAAATCTTCCACCTGTACTTAGCAAATCTGTGATCTTCGGCAAGACATTTATGAGCCTCAGTTATCTTTTCTGTAAAATGGAGGTGAGAGCGATGATCGTTCTTTCTTTTCTTTTTATGACTTTAAGTGGTCTTTTCTAGGTTGGATTTATTCCTTCCTTCCTTCCTTTCTTCTTGAAAAGTTTCCCAGATCTAAATAGTTGTCTGCACTATTCTAAATAAAGGAAGAATCACAATTCCTTTATTCTGAGATGTATACCTCTTTTAACTGATGATTGAATTTCTGGAGGAAATTTGCCATTGCTTATTAGAGAAAAGTACCATCAATAATGGTTTTTCTAAGAAACACCAATGAGTAATTTCCTTCGTGAGTATTTCTAAAAACGACCCCTTCAAGAAAGATAACACATTCTTTTTTTAAGGAAAGAAAATATATGTCTTAACATCACTTATGTGCCCTTACATTGTACTGCACTTTTTAAACACATGGAGATCAATTAATGCTCACAACCCTAGAAAAATAGCATGGTTTTATCCATTCCTACACAACTATACTGAGGCCCATAGGCAGTGAGTAACTTGTCCAAAAGGACAGAGTTACAGAAGTAGGGGTCCTTTGCCTCTGTCATTAACTCAGGATTCAGTGTGATTCTTAGGTGACTGGCATGCAGAAAATATGCTATTTGGATTTATTTCTGACTTATCATTTATCATATATATAAAATAGTAACTATTTATTGAGTATATACTATGCACAAGGTGCCTGAAATCCAACAGTGAACAAAACCAATGGTTGTGAACTTTTAAAATTTATATTCTTGGTATTGATGAATAGAGGAAGCAAACAAAAGGATAAATATAGAAATAAATCTTAATGGGTAAATGCTAAGGAGAAAGCAAAACAGGATAGCTGCAATGTCTGGAGGAATGAGCTGAATATTGAGCTGATGGAAGGACATTTGAGGCAGAACAGGAAAAAGCAAGTGCAAAAACCTTAAGTCAGGAAGGGGTTTAGCATCACCAAGGACAGTAAAAGCCAGTGTGGCTGAAGAAGGGAGAAGTGAGAGGGAAAGAAATTCATTTTCTTTCCACTAAGCGTTGAGCAAAATCTGTTTCCCTGGAGCTCCATCTCCACCCCAATGTATTCTAAATCTCTGCGGTGTTGTAGTCTGAGTTAAACATCCCAGTGAAAAAAATTAAGTCTCAGACACAGTAACAGGATGGGATAAAGCCCAGAAACACGTTCACACATGTATACAAACTTGCTTATGACATAACTTGTATTGAAGATAAGCAGGAAGAAGATGGGTCTTTCAATAAATGGTTTTGGGGTGACTAGTTATTTGTGTAGGAAAATAAAAAGAAATCGAAGCCATACATCACACCACATGATGTAAATCAATTTCAGGTGAACAAAAAACATAAAGGTGAAGTGCAAATCTCTGAAATTGTAGAACACAAAATAAAAGTATATTTTTATGGCCTTGGTGGCATAGAAAACTATAAGAGTATAGGAAAAGAATTCAACACTTGGCTGCTTTAAAATGTAAAAATCTAATCACCCAAAGAAAATCTGATCACTACAAAAAAATTAAAAGTCACAAACTGGAAAAATATTCCTGCAATACGTAAGAGTGACAAGGGATCCCTAGGTAGGATCTACAAAGAAATTGGTCAATTAATATGCAAAATAGTCTCTTCCATAGAAAATTGGGGAGGGGCACCTAGGTGGATCAGTTCATTAGGTATCCCACTCTTGATTTTGGCTCAGGACATGATCTCAGGGTCATGAGATTGAGCCCTACATTAGTCTCCCCAGGAGCATGGAGACTGCTTAAGATTCTCTCTCTCCCTCTGCCCCTACCCCACACCATCCACTCATGTTCTCTCTCTCAAAAAAAAAAGAAAGAAGGAAAAAGAAAAAAAAAAAGAAAAGAAAATTGGGGAAAAGCCCTACAAGTGTACCTCACCAAAGAATTTCATCACTCGAAACATGGAAATATGCTAATCTCATTAGGAGCCAAGGAAATGGAAATTAAAACCAAAATTAGATTCCACTTCACATCCATGGAATTGACACAAATATAGATGTCTGAAAATATTAAGTTTAATAATGAGAACTTCCGTACACACTTGCTGGGAGTCTGAATCATATGCTCACTTCAGAAAACAATTTGGCATAATGTAGTAAGTTTTAAGATGTGACCATGTCCCAGAAATTCTATGTCCAAGCATATATCCAGAGTAAGTACTGTTCACAGCAGCACTGTTTAACCAGCAAAAAAGAAAAAAAAAGATTGCACACATCCCAAATGTCCAGTAGGAGAATAGATAAATTGTGATCTCTAACACCAAGGACCTAAGATGTTGTTATGGTTGACTTGGTTTCCACCCCTGCAGAGAAGTTTATGACCCCACTGTGTCACCCAAAAACCATTTATTGAAAGGCCCATCTTCTTCCTGCTTATCTTCAATACAAGTTATGTCATGGATACATGAGCAAGATTCTTAATCTCTCTAAACCTGAGTTAACTATTACAAAGACGGTAACAATGTTTCCATCAGGAATGAAGAAGAAACTGTGTAAAGACGGCTTTCATTTATTGCCTGCTTTCTATGTACAAGGAATCTAGATGCGGGAAAAGAGAGTGCAGTTCCTCTCATGAGTTTTTACCATTATGCGGGTAAGAAATACATTCACGCTGTTACCCATCACAGTGGCGCCCCCCCCAAAACACACACACACAACACAACACAAATAAAACAGAAATCTAACAAAGAACACGTACCTTTATTCTATGTGATTCCCTTTGATATTTTCTCTCGCGTTCTCTGCCATGGGATTTTTTTTTTTTTTAAAGGAATCTCTACACCCAACATGGGGCTTGAGCTCACAAACCCGAGACCAAGAGTCACACCCTCCACTGACCGACCCAGCCAGGCACGCCACGCCATGTGATTTTTAATGCTAGTATTGACCTGATACATTTCTTTTAGAAGCCTCAGTTTAAAATATACTGTCATTCAGGTTCAGAGAAGGGCTTTGGGATCAGACAGAAACTGGTTCCAGCCCAGGCTCTGTCCCTGACCTAGACCAGGGCTCTGACTTTCCGACCCTCGTGTCTTCATCTGCAGTAGGGACCCTCTCACACTGTCATGGGGATTAAGTCTCAGGTAGTCTCCATGGCACCAGGTAGGGCTTAGCACCCCACAGGTGACTTGTAGGAGGGAGAACTTTTCTGGTCTTCCCCTTTTTCCTTTCCCAAATCAAGTGCTCTTGTTTTCTTACCTCTGAGCTACCGTGACGCAGGTCCTGCTTTTCTTTTCTAAAGGAGACTCTGGGGGCCAACAATATTCAGCTTCTGCCCCTGGACATGAGTGAAGATGCCAGTGCCTTAAAGAGTTGGCCAGTCAATTCAAGGACGTCAGAAAGGTTTGGAAGAAGCTTTGTCCTGAGCGATGGGTTCACCCGCCTCTCTCCATTTCGGCACCCCTGTGTTCTCTGAGCTCCAAGAGAACTCTGCCCTTACATCCAGCTGCAAGCAGAAGGTCCAGTTTAAATCCAGGAGATGGACCTTAGGGGGCTGTCCTAATCTCTGTGGATTTAGAGGGAAGATGGAAGTGAAACTTTTCATGAATTGTACTGGGGCTTGGGAGGGCGACTCGACATTATGTTTGGTTCCAAGTCCTTTCTCACACAGTTTGGAGCCCATAATAAATGCGAGGATTTGAGTGGGATACTGACATTGCAACACTGAATGAGACGTAATTCCTGCTCTCAAGTTGCTCCCAGGAGTCTGAGGGATAATGACCCTGAAACACACATTTACACATATTATAGTGAGAGATGAGCAACTTGTGGGTGTTCAGAGAAGGGGAACCTGGAGGTTTGGGAATACATTGCAGGAGGGAGGTGTGAGCTCAGTCTCTCAGAAGTGTTTCAAGATCACCTCTGCTTGAAACAAGACAACAAACAGAGAGATAGAACATTCTCCCAGCTCATAGAGAAAATTGAAATATCCTTTCCCCACTGCCTGCTGGATATTTTAGCTGCCTGAGTTAGTATTTAACATTAAGCATTCTATGCATGAAACACATCTTTTCCTCTCTAGGCTATGGATTGCCCACGAAATAGGTCTCTCTGTTCCTGGAATGCCCAATGCAAATTTGGAGGGAGATCTCTCAAATTCAATTTTATCCTTTTTCTTTTCTCCTTTTGTGTGATCAAATGACATAGACAGATTTAAAAGTAATGTGCCCATAACTATAACACAGCATTCTTTCAGGAACAGTAAAACCGTTGGTCTATAACATGCTGCAGTCAATAAACAACACAAAATATTTTTGAGCTAATGTGTGACCACATTCTCTCCAGTATGTCCTCTGCTCCCCTCATCCTCTAAGGGAACGAAGATTAAAATACTTTAACATACTCGTGCGTATACTTGCACAGCTTTATCCTAGACACACAACACAACACAATGCATTTGCACAGCTATGCCCATGTCGGTCCTCCTGTCCAGACTGTCCTTTTCCCTCCCCTCAGAATGAAATCTAACTCATCTCTCAAGCTCATCCTCACCTCCTTAGAGAAGCTCTCACTC